CTTCTCTCGAGGGTGATGCCACTGCGCCTTACATCCGTTTAAGGAGAGCGTTTGAGAATTATTTACTGACATCAAGTTCAATAAAAATAAAGTATAGCAAACGGAGTTTGTTGAGTACACAATTAGATTAAAGAGCATTAAGCACACTCGAACATTCTAGAACCTGTAGTCATGATGCTGATCTTATTAGGAACCAAATGAGGTCACGAGTGTAGACCCCTCCCGACCAATTCATAATCAATATCCAGGGGTGTGAGATAAATTTACCTCCACGTGGTGCACCCTGGGCAACGTTTACTCATACGGCAAAAAGGTCTATTAACAGGCAGTTGACTTCTGACTTCAAACTACCATCACCCCACTGTATGTCATATTCCACCACTTTCACAGTGCTCACCTCACCTTTTTTCTACTTTTCTACCTTCGTTTTTGAAACACTCGTCTGTTCTCCCCCCCCCCTTTTCATCTTTTTCATTTTGATGTTCCTCCCCCTCTGTGAAGCCTGAAATCAGCTAAAGGGCTAATGATAACCATCAAACCGCCTGCCATTTGATCCATTGCAGGGTTACAGTACCCAAAAGAGTATTTAGTGACAAAGCTCCATATCAAAAGACACACTCAACCCAAATGGGCGTATTTCACGTCATACGTCTTTTCCCTCTATATCGTTGAGACACTTTTTCTAATTCAGGCCTCCATTCTAATCTAAGGGATCTTGCTATAGGAATGACTGAGGATAAGCCAAGGCTTATTCGCTACAAGTTCGATGTGAGAAGTTGAATGCTTAACAAATCGTTTACGTTAATGACCGGTGATTAACAAATTTACAGGTATAGTTTATATTCACATAATACTTCTCCATCGTTTGAGTAGTGTTGAAAATTTAAAGAATACCAGTAAAACGATTATAATCATGCTTATTTTTTTCACAATTTTACTCGTTTCGCAGCCAATCCTAATATTGCTGAGACAGGGGTGTGCGAGAGACTTACCTCCACGTGGTGCACCCTGGGCAACGTATACTCATACGGCCAAAAAGTCAATCAACTAGCAGTTGACCTCTGACTTCAAATTACCATGACCGCGCTGTATGTCATAATCGACCCCTTCCACCGTACTCATCTACCCTTTTCTCTGTCTTTGTGTTTGCTTGTCTCTTACATCTGTGAATCATTATTCTGTCCTCCCTCTCGACTTTTTGTCACTTTGATGTTCCTCCTCCTCTCTGTGAAGCCCGAAGTCAGCTAAAGAGATAATGATAACTATTAAAACGCCTGCCATTTGAAACGACGACGAACGATATTGCTAAAACATTTCAATTGATGAACTCGATGACAAATTTCGGGACTTAGAAAGTACACAAAAATTAGTAATTAAAGAATTTGCACTTTTGACAAATTACTGTACTTCGAAAGTCCATTTTGTGTACTAGTGAGGTGAACCGGAGTCCACTGACCTTCTTATCTTCCTTAGAGTTACCTAGCTTCTGTTAACCAACTAGTATAATTGAAATTTTCGTTAGAGGGTCATCGTCTTTTCCTAGTGTTTTCTTTGAAATTATGACCTCCATATTGACCATCATTTAAGATTGTGCTAATTACATGTTATCTTAAGGTAATGATTTATTAACTTAAAAATTTATTTCAAATGACAGGCGTTTTGATAGTCATCAGTAGCCATTTAGCTGACCTCGGGCTTCACAGAGAGGAGGAGGAGCATCGAAATGACAAAAAGTCGAAAGGGGGGGACAGAATAATGATTCACAGATGTGACAGAGACAGACAAAAAGGCAGAGAAAAGGAAAGATGAGTACTGTGGAAGTAGTCGAATATGGCATAGAGTGGGTGATGATAGTTTGAAGTCAGAAGTCAACTGCCGATTAATAGACCTTTTTGCCGTACGAGTATACGTTGCCCAGGGTGCACCACGTGGAGGTAAGTCTATCGCACACCCCATTAACTTAAAAATAGGATACTGTAGATGTTTCTGAAACAGAGGTTGTGGGAACAGTACACCATCTTAGTCTTATTTCCAATAACTGGGATGTCCCTTTATGGAAAGATATTGGAACTCATTGAAGTTAGGGAAATAACACCACAGAACCTTTCTAGGTCACAAATCTATTTGAAATGTAGTCTTGTAAAGTGCCCACAATTCCTGACTTTGTTTGAGGGAGTGCACCAGGGAGCTGCTCCCAGTTGAAGCTCAAATTCAGCGACTTTCGCAAACCTGTCAAGCTTCAACCAAAGCGTCATCTGAAATCCATCTGTCCCTGCATTTACTCTCCGGTTTCAACTGATACCAATTGTGAGGCCCCTGTCTCCCGATGCGTGCACGTTAATCACTGAACCAAAATCAATTTATTTTACTATTTCCTTGCAAAAATTTAAAATACACTCTCGCATTAATTTTCATCCGTGTTTAAAATGAACCGGCATTACGAGTTGACCACTTGAATGAAATTACCAAATTCTAGGAACCGGAATCACCTATTTCCCGCGCATTTAGACAAAGCCCATAAGCTTCCTCGCTCATCCATTGCTATACCATCACTTGACTTCTACGATAGCACCTAGATGTGTAAGACCGCGGTGGCATTTATTGGCTAGCCGGAGAGCTAATCATTTACCCCCACTTGTTGGAATGGATAAAACCAAATCTACTTTCCTAAAAGATATGGCTTTCTCCTCTCTTCTTAATGGAATCACAGGAGGCAACTGAAATCTCTAAAACAACCCACCACTAACAAGTCAGAAAATGGGCTAAAAAGCCACAGGATAAATAGAAAAAAGGTGTACATCACAAAAGTAAACGTATTTACAAAGCACAAAACCTCCGAGAGAGAGGATTCAGATAAAACAAAAATATGTCACAAGTTCACTTATAATAAGGTGGCCTCGCCACTGGGATATTGCGATCTCGAAGGGCAGCTAGCAAATTTTCCATCGTCAAGTTAGGCGAAGGCTTTCCAGCTGTTCCAGATCCCGCCTGTTTCCCCCCTTGTCCAGCCAAGGGATTGCCGGAGGTGTCTTTGGAAGCTGGAGTCGACTGAACAGACGTTGGGTTAGCAAGGAGACCGGTGTTTTGGCCGTTGGAAAGGTTCCAATGCATCATGGTGTCGGTGAGAATGTCGGTAATGAACTTTTCACCGGCAAGACTTATTAGACGGGCCAATCGGGCGTCACCTTCGCCAGGATTTAGGCGAACACCGGCGGATTCGAGAAGGACAGTTGAGACGCGATCTGGAATCTAAAAGGACAACAAATATATATGTGATTTTTGAGGGAAGTCACTCTGGAGCCGATGTTACAAGAACCACACATTCTACCCCCCCCCCCCCCCCCCACCTTCTGTGGAACAGGAAAAACTATTAGCGTTAGTCATCCATATTAGTAAGTAAGCACAGGTAGACTGGAGTCTCGTGGTGCGGAAATCAATCAGCGTGTGAGCAGCAAAAAGTTTTTGAATATTTTTGTCGTACATATGCAGATATCGATGCTCACATATCAGGACAGAAATGAGGTCAATCCTCAAGGCTCGAAGTTTATCGAAGTTCATACGAGGTGAAAAGATTAACCACAACAATGTTTTCCTGGTTTTCCGATGACAAACCAGAAAGCCTCCCTCTACCCATGAACCCATTAGCAGATACTGATGTAGTGTGTTGCACCCAACTGTTTGACTTCTTCAGGAAATCAAACACACCTCCAGAACAAATGCGCTCACTGGCCCTTGAGACAATCAATGTCTATATATATATATTGAAGACACGTCAATAACAAAAAATGTACCAAGAGATAAAAGACCATGCAACCAGCACATTTTCAAGGCTTCTTTTAATAGATATCATTCTTAAACGAGTATGATATAAGCAATATAAATGATAGCTGCAGATTCCTTCTGACGAGGAAATCGTATATTATCACTCATTCTCAACTATTTAAACAAGTCCTTGAATAGGGACCAATGGACAGCAAATAATAGAGCTCTGACCCAACTTGATCCCATAACTAAAGTGAACACAAATGAGAAATTCGAGGTTATAAATCCCTTCTTGTTGAAGAGATTTAATCGGCATGAGAGGCTAACGACTCCATTAGAAGCATACCAGCTAAATTCAATCTACTAAACTCATTGTCCAAACCACTACTAGCGCATAAATAAAAATATTCGTAGAAAGTACAGACAAATAAAAATTTAATTACCGTAGGTTGAATGCGATCCATTCGTCTGTAGAGCTCACTCAGCAGCTCAATGTCCTTGCTATCTTGCGTAGCAGCTTCGTCCGCAGCAGCTGACGAACCAATCAAGGATGCTCCTCCACGACGAGAGGGGTTATTTGATTCACCAAGAGTCATCTTCTGAAACAAGAATTTAATACATATATAATAAAATTCGACCTCAAATTATATGCAAGCACATAGAAAACAAAAAGCCTCAATAGAAAATAGTAGCTTTGTTCATACAAAAAATTGCACATTAGCTTATGAAAGCAAAACAGATTGTTAGAAAAGAGTTGGCAGATCAGTCACATTCAAGAATAGTAGAGCGATCAAAGACTTTATCCAAAGAAGTGAAAGCTTCACTATTGGTGGCTTTGGCACCAGCCCAATTGAAGATTCTGTGAAGGAGGCCCATTCGAATAATTTTACGGAACCAAGGAGTGTATATACGAGAATTATTGACAAATGTCGTGTTAATCGAATCCTCTCGAGCCCATTCCGTTCCAGCCACCTCATTTGAATTTACATTTAAAAAGGTAGAGAGATCAGAATTAACACTGGCAGGGAGAACGCTAACAAGGAGATAATCGACTTCACGTTCACACCAATCGTTCTTGACTGGTTCATTAGGAGAGGAATACTTAATTCGAGTTAGAAAATGAATATTTTCTAAGAGGAGTTGCCTTGATGAATCAATACCAAGTTCATGCTCAGCTTTTCGTTGAGCAGCACGTCGAACTCCAATTGCATCGCGTTCTTCTGCTTCTCCCGTATAATTCATGCATGGATGACTGCAACATGTATTAGTCCAAAGTGACGGAAAAGTCAGCTTTGAGGAAGACCGTTGTTGCATTAAAAGTTCAAGGTCCAAGCTATTTGGAATTTGACGAAAGATGAATAAACTAAACGCACGATGAAGAAGACCTTCCTTAAAATGACATTCACTTTTGGTTGCAACCGAGAGAGCATTGTCACGATTATCCACAACGATGCAATTATCATTTGCCATGAAGTCATATTGAACTTGGCAGTTTTGTTGTGATACGGTGGACAATCTACGTATTTTTATTGACCTTTGACAGGTTTCAGGGATAAAGGGAAATAATTTCCGAAAAGAAGAGATTAGGGTGCTCATCTAAACAGCTAAAGAAATGAATGGCTATAAACAATAATTAAAGCAACTACCTAGCGTTTTTATAAAAAAATTAATAAATAAAACCTAATGGAACAATTTTTATTTCACATTTTATTAAATGGAGCAAAAAGAGCTTAAGACAACAAGAAGGCGAGAAGTACCAAGACACCTAGAGGCTAAACGCACGACGAATGGATCGCTTCAATAAGACCTATTAGACCTATTTAAACAAAATCATCGATAATTTCGCAATTCAATATGAGGACAAAATATTTTTGCGATAAAGCCTAAATAATTTTTCAGAGCTTTTATTAGTTATTTTTATTTAAAATAATATTAATTTGTAGATAGTAAATTAACATTATATTTTTGAGAACAGGCAGTAGTTATATGTAATATATGTCAATTTTTCTATTATTGTTTTTAGTTACAAACTAAGCACTTTTGACCTTGTAAATATATTTAGCAAATGTATTGCTATTACATGTGCGTTTTGTCACGTTTGTTCTGTTAATTTACTTTATTATTTATTGTAAACGTGTGGTATTTAATTTTGATCTTAGATCAAACTGTACCAGATACCATTGATGCGTTCGCGATTCTTCCTTCCCAAATTCAATTATAAACGTTCATTTACGGGTTTCGCAAGATATTTGAGCGATTCCTCGTCTAAAATCTCCAATGACTCAATCCGCGGTACATTTTATATGGAGGCCTACGGTTGTCAGATGAATTTTAGCGATTCTGAGGTTGCTCATTCCATTCTCCAAAATGCCCGTTTCAAGAAGGTCTCTGATTTTCGTGATGTACGTCATCCATATCTTCATAAATGTTTAATTTCAAGGCTGATACAGTACTTCTTCTTACATGCGCTGTGCGTGAAGGTGCGGAAGAGAAAATCTGGCGTCGAATGAGATATTTGCGTTCAACACCCCGTAAGAAAGATCACCCGGATTTACGCATTGGTATTCTCGGTTGTATGGCTGAGAGACTAAAAGAGAAACTCATTGAAGGTCGATTTATTCAAGACCGAGAGGTGTCTGCAGATTTCGTCTGTGGACCTGATGCTTATCGAGATCTTCCTCTTTTAATCGAGGATGTTCATGAAAGGGGAATTAAGGGAGCCTCACTTGCTTTGTCACTTGAAGAGACCTATGCAGACATCAAGCCAATTCGTCATATGGGTCCCTCAGCTTTTATTTCAGTTATGAGAGGCTGTGATAATATGTGTTCCTTCTGTATAGTTCCTTTTGTTCGTGGACGCGAACGAAGTCGGCCATTGAAATCCATCATTGATGAGATTCAACAATTGTCCTCAGAAGGAGTTAAGGAAATAACTCTGCTCGGTCAGAATGTAAACAGCTATCGAGACATCTCAGCAGGAGTTGATCCTATCGATTGCACTATCGATACTCTCGCTCCAGGATTCAAAACAATTTATCGACAAAAAGTTGGTGGTTATCGGTTTATCAATCTTCTTGATGCTGCTAGTTCAGTAGATCCGAATATGCGAATCAGGTTTACATCTCCTCATCCAAAAGATTTCAACACTAATGTCCTTCAGTTGATTGCAGAAAGACCAAATATTTGCTCGCAGTTGCATCTACCTGCTCAATCAGGTAGTTCTGTGGTTCTTGAAAGAATGCGAAGGGGTTATACGCGAGAAGCCTACTTGGAGTTGGTTGAACAAGCAAAATCTATAATCCCAAGTTAGTTGAAATGACATTGATTTCACGAATGTCTTCCTAGACATTGCCATTTCATCGGACTTTATTGCTGGATTTTGCGGTGAAACTGACGAAGATCATTATCAGACCCTTTCGTTGATTAATCATGTTTCCTATGCCTATGGATTTTGCTTTCCATTTAGTCTCAGAAGCGTAAGAAATGATTTTTCTAAATTACATATCGAGTTGAGCTTTGACGTTTTGGATGATTGGTTTAAAAACTAAATTCATATTGATTTGTAGAAAACTCGTGCTTTTCATCGATTGGTGGATGACATTCCCCAAGAAATTAAATCTACCAGACATGAGGAGCTGAAACATGCTTTGCGGACGTCTGCTTATCAATTTAATAGGGGCTTGATTGGTACAACCCAGCTCGCTCTTGTTGAATCGGTTAGTAAAAGATCGGCTTCTGAGTTGGCAGGTCGTGTTGATGGAGGTGTTAAGGCGATTTTCCCGAAATTTCTTCCAGATTCATCTGAAATACAAATTGGAGACTATGTTGCTCTGAGGGTATGATTTTTTCCCCTTATTTATACGTGTATCAATGAGTAAAATTATTTCCATTGTAGATTGAGTCGTGTACTTCACAAACACTTCGAGCAATTCCGCTCAGAAAGACCAATGTTGTGGAATTCTACGGTGAAAGTCAACGCCATCACAATATTAGTGCTCTGTAGAAATGAGTGTAAATAATCTTCTTATTTGGTTTTATTCTCGTAACTTGTACCTTTTTTGGAGTGTAAAATGAAAGCGTTTCTGTCTACATTTACTGAAGCTGGAGGATTTTCAATTTGCTGAATAGTCCCACTTACCTTAATCCTGTAAATAAGGCAATTATACATGAAAGGTCCGATGAACGTGAGGGATAAGAACGATGAAACTGAGTATATGGTCTGATCTACTCAATTGCCACTTTTCCACCCTGTGGTTCAGCTTCCCAATTTGTCCACTTTGCATAACAGTCTGCTTGATTCCCTTTGGTCAGTAAGGTTGTAGGCCTACTCGTGGCTTGCAAGACCCCCCCCCCAGGTGTGACTTTCTAGGCATCTTCCATGTGAACACAACTATTGGTCATAAGATCAGTTTCTGTAGGGTTAGTGAGGTGCCATGGAATTATAGCGTTTCGGTCTTTTCTCTCCTAGTCTCGACTAACCGTAGTCTGGCAAAACCTAGTGGGCGCATTGTTCATGGTTGTATAAAGTATGTTTTAGGCCTATGAACTTCATCCCACTCAGCATTCGTATACCATCATACCAGTTAATGCAGAATTTTGTGCTGGCGTCCAGACGAATGCGTGAAAATCTACGATTTGAGGGGTTGCATCACTGTGGCAAATGCGCAGTCAGTAATAATTGATTGAAGGCACTTGGTAGAGAGAATGAAATGGTGCAAAGTTTGGTGTTGGGCCGATAAGCATAGAGGAAACCAAGAATGGGCGAAACAAAATCTCCCTCGGAGATTAATTCTGTCTAATACAACATGTCGTCTAAAATTTATTTTCCTCAGAAGCAATAAATTTTTAAGTTATTCGTCTGTAACCAAGTTCCACGAGTATGTGTATGCTTTTTATATTATTTACCAGCACTGTACTGTAGGCACATTTAAACTAATTGATTAGTAACCACAATTTTCAATGGAATTAAATTTATTTGTTACTTCTAAGGAGTGAAGAGCAACTCTAAAAGGCCGAGTTGTTTGGCGCTACATGTCGGTGGTGGCGAACGAGCAATTTCAGGTCAAAATAGGTGATATTCCTCTTTAGTTTCCATCAAATGGGTATCTTTTTCTTGGGGTTATGCAATCATTGATAAATCAACAAATCTGTCGGTGTTTTCTACGACTGGCTTATGTCTGTGTCCGACTCGACGATATTTTTGTCATGAGTTGAAATTCGTGGTATGGACTGAACCCTCAGCTTTTCTTGGACAATTTAAGCAGGAAATATTTAAATAAATTGTTTTTTACTTTTATTTGGCAAACGTTTTGGATCTTAAAACAATTTGCAATTTGAAAGAAGTATAATCTTAAAAATTGTACACTTTCTATAAATCATATTTTGGTAACAAGTGCTAGACATTATGATAGTTATCATTAGCCCTCTAGTTGACTTCGAGCTTCACAGAGGGGAGGAACATCAAATTCGCATAAAGTCGAGGTTGGGGGCGGGGGGGGGGGGGGGGGAACTGAAGAGTGACTGACAGAATCAAGAGAGACAGGTACAAAGGAAGAGAAAAAAAGGCGAAGTAAGTACCGTGAAAGTGGTCAAATATGACATACAGTGGGGTCTTGGTAGTTTAAAGTGTGAAGTCTACTACCGATTTGTAGACTTTTTCCTAGGAGTATACGTCTCCCAGGGTGCACATCGTGGAGACAAGTCTATTGCGTACCCCTTCTAAAAAAGCAGAGTTACGGAATGATGTGAGTATTATTCACTAAACCTCAGAGGCTGGAATTCGCATGAAAGTAGTCACCAACTTATGGAGAGAGGAATTTGTGGCGCTAGGATAGAAGTTGTCGCTTGAATTTTCCGTCACTTCCATATCAGTACAAAGAGAATCTCCTTCTCGTATAACTGCCCAATCAACTCGTTTTTCTTCATAGTCTCACTAAATTATTCATTGACTCTCTCTAAGCACCACCACTTGGTGTAATAAATAGACTAACTCTCTTCGTGAAGGTCGAAAATTCCTTGGGTAGGGATGTTTCTGACCCGTCTCACATAATATCTGTGTCTAACACCCGAGCATAGAAACTTTCCAGCCGACAAACCCTTAACTGTTTTAATGACTAAGCTCTATAATTAGCGAATTTTATTGAATTTCATCAGTTATTTGCGACTTTCATTAATTATTACTAATATGGTTCTATTATTCAGATGACAGCGTTGTTTTATAGATCATCGATTTCATTAATTTATGAACAAAGCTGTCATTATTGTGTATCGATTTTCATTAATTAGCCACTTCTTTATTGCGCAGAATATTATTTCACTTCTTGGGAAGGTATTTACATTAAATGGCATGCGTTATTTTAGTCATCATTAGCCCTTTAGCTGACTCCAGGCTTCACAGAGGGGAAGGTACAACAAAGAGAAAAAAGTCAAGAGGGGGGGGGGAACGGAAGAGTGCTTCGAAGATGCAAAAGAGACAGACACAAAGGGAGAGAAAAGGTAAGATGAGTACTGTGGAAGTGGTAGAATATGACATAGAGTGGGGCCATTGTAGCTTGAAGTCAGGAGTCAACTGCCGGTTAATAGACTTTTTTGCCGTATGATTATACGTTGCCCAGGATGCACCACGTAGAGGTAAGTCTATCGCACACCCCTTCTTGGGAAGGTAGAAACTAGTCAAAAGACTGCAGTGCTCGTGTACAAAGACTAATTTAAACATTACTTTTAAAGCAACTACTATGATTGCGTGTGCTCATTGACTAGGTTGACCGGTTTGGATACTGTGAATTTGGATGCTTAATTAAAAAGCCTTAGATATTTGCTGTTACATTTGGCAATACGCGCACTCATAGACTCCCTACTGAGGTAGTATTATGACTAATTGATTCAAGCCCAGTCCGGACAGTCCATGTGGTATCTTTCCACTCCTTAATTAATGGGAATTGGAATTTAAGAGACGAATTGGTAGCAGAAATTCTGATACCAGATGGATATTAATGTGTTGGGATAACCTAAACAAGATCAATAGCCGTGGTCTAATAAGCCTGAACAGACGACAATTCTATGGGCTCTAACACCTACTCGACACGCAGGTCTTTTCAATTTAAGATCGTCTTGTACCTATAAGATCGGAACCTGGAGGTAAAACCTGAGGAAAAATGTGATTTTGTCTGAGATTATAGGGGTGTGCGATAGACTTACCTCCACGTGGTGCTCCCTGGGCAACGTATACTCATACGGCAAAAAAGTCTATTAACTGTATTAACTGTCTATTAACTGTATTGTATGTCATATTCGAATGATTACACAGTACTCACCTCACCTTTTCCCACTTTTCTGTCTCTCTTACATTTTTGAAACTCTGTTCTGTCCCCCCTCTCCCTCTCGACTTGTTTCACTTTGATGTTCCTCCTCCTCTGTGAGGCCTGAAGTCAACTAAAGGGCTAATGATAATTTCACAACGCCTACCATTTGATATAAATAAATAAATTGTCTGAGATTATACAACATCGAGCGGATAGATGCCAAAAGATGAAAATTGCAAATAAACTCCCAAATATGTGGAAAATCTTCGCAAAGTCGAAAGATATGCCCTCACATGCTGCCAATTGTTATAGATCCTCAACTTCTCAGAGTCCAGGATAGAAATGGGGAAAAATATGATCGAATTCTAGTGCGCAAACCCAGGAAAATCTTTCAGGCCAGTTTTAGTCTAAGAGCCAATCAGATTAACTAACAGTTGCTAATACAAGTGATACCGATAATAGATTATAAAAATTTTATTGAAAATCGGATAGCTACCCTACCATTATCCCAACCTTTCCTGCAATTTAATAAATTGTTAAGTAAAAGGACTAAGTTGGCCACTGATTATAATTTTGCATGAAAAGCAATATAATTGACTAGCTGTAGCACGAAAAAAATGGTGGGGAGGTGGGGAGGGGTGATATAACCGGGGATTTGATGTCAATATGCCAGATATGAAATGCAAAGTCAAACAGAGATGATTTTAAATAGGCAAGCCAGGCACATTTATTGGGGGTGGTGGTGGTGGTGGGGGNGGGGGGGGGAATAAAACAAGAAGCTAATCAAGATTAAAATAGGTAGGCTTTGCGGGTGAGGGTTGAAGTTACGCTGACCATCTGCTTTGACGCGTGAGAGTCCGCTTGCCCGGTGTTGGATTCATACAGTATCGCAACTTTACGTGCGACCACAGTTAACAAAGCGGCCACATCATGTGATTTTCCAAGATCCTGATCGGCTTTGATCACTTTGCAAAGCTCCTGAATGAACCAACTGCCAGTATGGGAATTACGCCAGGCATAATAACCTACCAAAAAACAATACATGGCTGCTTAAATATTTGCAAGTAGGAGGGGGGGGGATTTATATACGTGAAGGTACTTACCAGGGAAAGTTGAATTGGCAACGAAGACATCGGCTTCAATGGGCATTTTTGTAATCAACATTCCTTCTGAACTGGCATCTGTGGAAAAGGCAAATCCTCTGTCGAATTTACTCCCACGGCAAGCCTGTGCACAAATTAATAGGATTGAAAAGAAGGGGGCTATACAACGACACTTTTTTCAGGAGATCTTGATTGTCTGAAGGAGACGTCTGGAAAATGACAAATTCTGCACCCCACAAAATTGTATTTTAAAATTTAAAAGTGAAGCCTTTCCTCATTAAACTGGTTGTATTATTTACGCAAACAATTTGATGTAAATCAGGCGGCAAATGTACCAGACAGACGGTCACAGACACAAAACACCCAAACTCCATAAAAAACTTGATAGTTCAAATTTTATGATTACACGACTACTACCATTCCCCCAGTAATATAAAAGAATGACAGATTTTATACCGGTAAGAAACCGTCATAACAGACAAAGACAACAAAGACGAGGGCATCAAAAAGGTCCAAAAAACAACTTCGAGACATCGAATCAACTTGCTGCGTCTTGTAATTTTTGCCCAAATAGAGAGCCGCCCACATTCCAATATTCAAATTTCATGATTTATAATCCGAATTGCAGTAAATTTATGACTAAGGCAATCAATGCCTATTGGCTGATTTTAGTTAGGAGTGGGGAGCGGGGTCCTGCCTCCTTCATTTCATTTTCGTCTTCAGATTGTTTTATATTACATTGGAAAGCTTACAGTTTTAACATAAAGAGAACGAGGTGGGGTTTAAGTTGCGATACCTTTACGTAGCCACTTGTATAATCATGGCTGACAAGACCCAGGACGACACGTCAGTAGAGGTCTAAATATCACTCATTATGGTTTGTTGATAAGTGCACATAGTGCACTCTGGGCAACATAAACTCATATGGCAAAGTCTATAAACACGCATGTGCTTCTCACTTCTCTGCCTTTGTGTCTGTCTATCTGTCTCTTCTACAACCTTGAAACACTCTTCCGCCCCCCCCCCCTCCTCCCGACATTTTCTCACTTTGATGTTCCTTCCCCTCAGTGAGGCCCGAAGTCAACAAAAGGACCAATGATAACTATCATAAAGCCTGCCATTTGATATAAATAAATAAATAATGTTTGTTGATAAGAATTGTATACTCTGTCATACATTTAGGTCAAGGACTGTATACTAGACACTCCCTTTTATGTGAAACACAGACTTGTTTGTGCCTTACTAGAATAGACGTATTCAGAATTATGATTTCGGGGTACATTGGGTGGCTGTTTGCGTATCCAGTGGCTTAATAGGGGGGGAGGGGGGGGGGGGGGGGGGGGGGCATTCTAACAAATTTTTGAAGAAAGAACTTCGACCATTGAATACCGTGAAAGCTGCTCAGGACCTTCACCAATGTCACCAATCATATTTCTACCTACTGACCGAGTTGTTAAGAATGCTGCAGACCTTAAACTATAACACTGAGTAAAAGATGAGCAAACGCAAGTACAAAGAATTAATTGTTAGGTGCTGTCAGCGCGGTAAATGGAAGTCAAGTAAATCAATTAACAACAAAGAAGAAAAAGGAGATTCGCGCTTACCTGAATGAAGAACATCTTGGGTTTGCCGGCAAGAGTTGGGCATCGATCTGAGCGGAAATAGGAAATCAGACGATCCACGTTGATGGTCCCGTCTGAAGCAAAGACCATACCTTCGCAACCGTGGCTCAGAATTACACAGACAAAACTGTCGTACTTGCTATGGTTTTGGTTTCGAACTGCAACGGAAATAAAAGCAAGTAAATTACAGGAGTCTAGTTTGACTAGACAATTCAAAAGAGTAATCATTAGTTCATTGTGGCAGGGATTATGAGAACTCATGAAGGATAGAAAAGTACTGTCATCGAGTTCCCTCGGCAGCGAAAACGAGTTCTGCTAGCAATATTTTTATTAGCTAGAGCTTAACATACCGTTTAGTGACCAAACTTGCAGATTGTGCGTAGAGGAGTGCACAGAGAAACAGCCTCCTCTTAAAGCCTCCCTAATGGGAAAATCTCATTTTGAAATATAAACTAGGTCGTGCAAATTACCGGACGCAGGCAATTAAATGCTGAACACGTGCTTCTGAACGCTGAGCTAACGACGCATATCGTATGACTCATCGCTGTAATTCCGCAGTAAGTGAAAGTAACCGCACACCTGCAGCATAATTCAGATATTGATACATCACTCCATACCTCTCCCAAACTAATAGTTATTGATTTTCATGCCTGATTGCACTGAGCAGTACAGTCATTTTGACCTCAACCCATGAAACAACTTCCAGGTCTCCTTCATTCAGAATGCTCAACACACAAGTTCATCGCCATAGAGGCAATTGTCAGCCCAGTAGCTAGTCAAGGAGAAGCACACTAGGTAGCTTGTGACCTGAGTGAGAGATGCTCTTGAGTTTTGAAACTACCATTAGTTTGATTTAGAAAGAAAAGACCCATAATGGTGCATAAATGTCCAACCTCTTCAACGATTAAAGGACATTTTGAAGTGATAAATTAATCTTAGATTACTCCAATTGCCTACTTGAACGATGGGGATTTGCAATCGCCTGATTTGGGAATACCTTGTTACTAGCCCCCAATGCCCATGGCCTTAGTCGTCGTGTTTCTAATTGGGGAGAGGCTAATAACCCTAGCTACGAATTTAAGGCGTTCTCTCCCCCCCCCCCTCCCTCTCTCTCTCTCTTCCTCTCCCTCTAAGTGCAAAAAACCCCGTTTTAAACCAAAAATTCCCATTTCGAGGGATCAAAGCTCGGAACTGGGCTAATTTCGGTTTCATAAATAGTGCCATAAATTGGGGTGAAATAAACTTCAACCATAAGAAGTTGCGGAAACCTTCAAGTACACTGTCCCAGATGTTGGGCTTCGCAAGTACATCGGGGGGGGGGGGGGGGGGGAGGGGGGGGAGGGAATCGATTTTCAATAAGCTACCGATGTGGAATATTAAATTTGGTCATTTTTTTTTTGAAAAAAAGAAAAAAAGTACAAATCGAAAATGAGGAAATTTATAGGCAGTGACTAAGTGAGCTGGTAATGAAAAAAACCACTATGCATATTAGAACGATGCTTTTCAGGGCAAGAGCGTTGAAGTAAACAATAGACTTCAACGAGTTTTGGACTTACCACAAAAAGGGGTGTTATAAACCATACAAAATAATTAAATTATTATTGTAAAGCTATTCTCTAGTGTGAAAAAAGGTCATTAGTTCGCCTAGTATTGCTTATTAATCAATTAAAACATCAATTCCAGGTCAGGAAAAGGATTGATCCCCACCTCAGAGGAATTCCGACAAAAAGGAAGAAATAGAAAGCTGCCAATTGCATGCAACTGTATAAAGAAAAGTGAGCAATGTTTCTAGTACTAACAACAGAAACACTGTTTCTGAGGTTCAGAGAAAAAAAGAGAAAGATTCCCGGGAACCATTTTAGGCTTCGTAAAGGTCAAGGGTGATTGAAATGCCACATATCAGAAGGTATTACGAAATGCTACCGTTAGATTGCGTGCAAGCACCTTAAAAAGTTAGTTTGAAAAGCAGCCGTATGTGTTCTTCAGACTGAGATTATATAAGCAAGATCCTAAATCTCACTGACCAAAACATCCTTCCTTTAACCACAAATAATTTCTTTGCATCCATAGCTAAGTGTCCTTTCGCCCAAATGGCGTTATGTATACCAATCCAATACATGCAACGTATATTCATACGGCAAAAAAGTCTATTAACCGGCAGTTGACTTCTGGCTTCTAACTACCATCACCCCAATGTATGTCATATTCGACTACTTCCACAGTACTCATCTCACCTTTTTTCTACCTTTGTGTCTGTCTCTTTTACATCTTTGAAACACTCTTCTGTTCCCCCCCCCCCCCTTTCGAATCTTTTCCACTTAGATATTTCCTCTCCCCTCTGAGGCCTGAAGTCACCTAGAGGGCTAATGAAACTATCAAAATGCCTACCATTTGATATAAACAAATTAAATACATGCGGTTTCAACACTGATCGTGAGTAAAGGAGAGCGTCCGAGCATACTTAATTGAGAAAGCCCATCCTACAGTAGCCAATCTTTACGAGCAGTGAACAATAAGCGAACCATCAATCATCAAGATAATTTGAACTTCAACTCGATAGTTACTACCTTCAATAATACATTAAATGAGAACCAACCATCGTCCAGGAGATATTCCATCTTTCGAAGAGTAAGGTTCGTGGCTCGATTGACAGCATAGCCACACTTAATAAAAGTGCGTTCAACTACATCCGCATCAATGTCGGTTCCATCTCGACGTTCCTGGCCCGTTTTGGCTTGGTCAAAGTCACGCTGGTTGATAAGGAGACAAACTCCACGCGGATTACTTCTATTGTTAGGATTGAGCACGCGAGGATAGGCAAGATCAGGGTCGGAGATTTCAGATTCTGCAATGTACCGCCAAGAATCCACACTTATAGAGGTCTCTGGACTACCACCAATGGGTTTGGAGGAGAGATTTGGTGGATTGGGGCAGAGCGTGGGGGCATTACGTATTGGACTAATTAAGAGATAACAAGAAAGCAGCTTAGAGCATTACATCATACGAGTGAAACAAGATGTAAAACACTAACTAAACACGGCACACAACCAAACTGACTTCGTATGATTTGTTCCCAAGGGGGAAGTATTAGAATTGTGTGGTGTTTGTGGACTATAAAAGGAGAAAATAGGGACAATTTAAGCCACTTGCAGAATCAAGACCAACTAACATATACTAGACGCACCGACACTCAAACTCCACTAACTCATCACACCTGATTACATCAGACTCGGAGTAAACAGGAGATTCGGCATACTGGGTGAGATCTTATTTCCTTATGATATATATATATATACACACACATATTTATACAAACTCAGACTCAAGACTCCAAATTACTGTAAGCCAATTTTAGAGATCTTGCAGTGGGTAATAGCAACGTGAGGTGAAGAAAAAAAACACTGCAAAACTGCAAACTAAACATTTAAGACACAAACACTGACTACATCGTATTATAGCTGCTATCTGGCGTTCGATGGGATTCAGAAAAAGAGGATTGAGGGCTTTTGCAAGGTGTGAGCGTACTTCTTGCTCTTCGTGAAGGCTCGACTTCTACTACTGGGCTGAAAGTAAAGACGAATTGAAAAAAGTAAGTCGGTATGAAGACAAGTGTGAATAGAAAAAAACAAGCACTCCCAAGACATAACAGAAAGCCGAATTTTAGTATAATGATCAACTAGTGAAGGTCAATTAGCATGTCAGGGTGGAGTTCAAATTAGATTTTTATTTGTGAAGGTTGAGGTAGCTAACATAGAAACTGTGATTTAAGTAAACAAACCAAAATATCCAACCTCGCATACCAAATGCTTAATGCACTTCGCGAAACACCAATGTGTAATTAATGAGCTCCATTGCACCTACGAATCAATAGTGTATTTGGGAAATTTATAACCTAACTTAGACTAATACAGACATAGTGCGATCTTAAAAATAGTCAACGAAAATGTGGCCTTTGTTCGTTAAATAAGGACAAAATGCGAACTTCGGTCTAAGAACCGTTGCAAACTCTATGCTAGTGATTGTGGGGAGGATAGTTGTCCCGTTGTACGAATAAATGCTACAAACTTTGATAAGTCCCTTCAATTTCACTAAAGGTGATTAAATTTTCGCCTATCTAAATATCACTCCCCAATCACAAAGGTAGTAGGACTTAGAACATACATCTTCAAGATGCTTTCAATCGACAAAAAAGCCAGACGAACACACATCTTCCTCTAAAAATAGGTGCCTAAACCATGATAACAAGTAAGCACTAAGCCACACACCTTTAAATTACAACTCTCTCCTCCGCCCTAGCTGCCACGTGATGAATTATAATTGTTACTAAATGACTAGCAATGACCTACACGACAATCACCCTCGATTACCATAAACTCGCCTGTGGTTTATAACCATTGTACTGTACACACTTCATTCCCTCCCTGGATAAAAAAGTGTGGTTGACTAACGCTAAGTGAAAATATTTTAGAAAAATAGAGACGAACCTTATAAATTAAATGCTCGCAACAGCCTACCAAGATAACAATTACCAAAAAATCAATTCTCAAGATTGCTTTATCGGTACAAGTTAATTTTGAAGGGAGTTTAACGCCAGGTGTAAAGCAGATGGCAAATTATTGAAAGTCAATAATTGAATTTCCTTTTATCCAATTACTTTATTAAGTAATTCTTTCTAACTTCAAGATCAGAATTGCAACCATTCTCTTCCAATTAAAACAATTAAATATAGGTAGTTTTTGGACGAATTGCAAGGTTCAACCCCTATTTTCAAATAAACCCAATCCTATTAGTGGACATGATAGCCCAGATTAAAGAAAAAACAAGTTAGATCTAGGCTTTTTAAACTAAATGTCGCCTCTTTTGTTGGCAATATGTCAGCGATCTGTTATCATTAAGCTCCAAGAAACCTGTTATGAACAAAAGAGCCCCCCTGCCCACTTTTGAAATGTTTTGAAGGGAAGAGTCTAGTAAATAGGACATTTGTTTTTAATCCACAAAAATTTCATATAAAATCGAAGGAGTTGCATATGTACTTTTACAGGGAGATTTTAAAAATAGTAACAAACGCATAAGACGGCAATCATGATCATCAACTTCTCATAACTCTTAACATCACCCTATTCCCCTCACCCCCTCCCCTCTCTCTGTGCAAAAAAAACAGCAACTGGAAATGGCATTTCAGAATATGTGAAGTTGGGACTTTCGCAAAACGTTAGTTCACAACTAACAATAAGTCGCCTTCAACTTAAATTCATCACTTGCAAAGTATCTTTTCAATAAACTAAGACAGAAAACCAAAGGACAATCGAACTACCAAACAAACTCACGAAAAGAGGAACAATAAACAATATTGGAACGAAAATCTAAGAAATGCATACGCACATTCAACTAACAAACTTACCGAAGTCCAAACCTGGAAGGTATTGAGAAGAAAAAGAGATTATTTCACGATGAAATACGCAAATAAAATACATGCAAAATTAAGATTAGCTAGTAGGAAAGGTAAAAGCCAATAACTAGACAACCCTTTCAATGTTCGGTCAAAGGTGCCTAAAACAACAGGAAAGTGGTAATCTAGTTATAAACTAGACACCAAAAATAGGTGCAGATCTCAGAACTTAGAGGTTTTTTCCCAATTTAATGCCTTAAAGTGGGTTTTCCCCCAAACCATGTAAGCTAATGCAATTTAACACATTTTAAAAAGTATGCAAATGTTGTGAATAAACAGCAATGAATAGATAATCTAAATTTCCTTGAATATAACCGAGAATTAATAACTTCTTATCATGTATTCAAACGAGTTTCTATTCACGACCATCCACTAAAAATTCGCATGCAGAACACTAAATTATGACCAGATAAGGGAAACTTATTACACTATTAATCGAGAAAATCATCGAGTCAACAGACACGAAGAAAATGAGCTTTCAAGAGAGGCGAAGAAATGGATTGGAAAATACAGTTAAGCTTATGCAAGAGCGGTATGGCCTCACAAGGTAATTGGTATAAAATAGGAATGATGACTAAATATGAAAAAACAATGAACAGATATAAAGGATTACCACCCATAGACAAAAAAGCTACAAAGTATCAATTCCCAAGAAATATCCAAAGTTATTAGAGGTTGTTATATTAGTCACATTTGATAAGAGAATGATTATAATAGCACTAATAAACTATAGAGAATCGAATATTAATAGAAAAATGGTGGATACGAAGTTGCAAAGGAAGATAAAATGATAAATAAATGAACACTAAACGGCACAAAACACTCCAAGTTTGCATAAAAATGTACCTTCGTTGACGTTGAGGTATGATCACAGTACCCAAACACGAAAGGGATCCATCAGTATTCCCAGAGGGTCTGTCATTATTGTTTAAAGTAAGCAAAATTCACGAATATAACATATGCATAAGTACATATCAAACCAGAATTTAGTTAGGTATAAGATTAGAAATAATAAAAAACAAACTCACAATTGGAAACTTGAATCCCCTTCGTCACCATGAGAAGACACCGTCTGAGAAGGCGATAACTGCGTTTCCATTATTTCTAAATTGCAAACACTAGATTGGTAAATAGCTGATTAACTTTGCGAAGAACGCTTTTATATGAGCCAGGCCATCGTACCCAATAACCAGACAAACCTAGGAGAAGAAGAATGACAAAGACAAATTCAATGCGCTTGGACTGTGTCAAGGTCACATAAATTATTTGAAGAATATAAAGTTTACCAATTCCTTTTTAAAATTTTGTTATGAAATATTTCGTTTTCCATTATTTAAACTTGACTTCTTCGTCAATTTTATAATGGATTAATTTAATATTAACGTTTTTAAATGCTGCGCTATTTAACAAATTTTTCCTTATATGAGCTACAGGGGAGAAGAAATGCCTCATCTTAATTTGACTTTGATTGATGGTAATTAGAGAAAATAATTTAATTCACACATGTCACTATAACAGTACTATAATTTGCATCCCGATTCGATTGATCTACAAAAGTAAACACCCCAATCATGTTTTAATACTAGCGGCCACGTGTATCTAGGCTCAGAAATGTAATAATGATCTCTTGCTTGCTCAGTTTTAAAGTTTCACATTTATCAGAATGAATTGATATTCCGCTCAGCTCTCTGCTTTCTTAAACAGACTTTGGGCTACTCTTTATTATGGCCCCATTTGACATTTTAAGGCAGTTAATGTGGCAGTAGACATCAAAGTAGCTTTTACAGATGGAATTATTTAGGCAAACAGAATACCTAAATACATATTAGATCCTTGTCTCACCAACAGCCTTGCAGTCTTTATAATGCATTTCGAACTTATCGCTCAGTCCGTTAAAGGAATGTATTTTTTGATAAACTTATCCAATATTTCTTATAATCACAAACATACTCAAGCAGTTTGGTTCAGTTGTTTAGGGTAATCAAAGGTATGATTTTATAAACACGTAATTCTAACTTGCATGCTGAGCGGGAATGACGTCCATTGAATATTGTTTCAAATAATAATGCCATGAAAATTACTCATGGTGCACTAATTATGCCTCTTGCCGCGTCTCCTTTACTCAAAACATGTAGAAGTAAGCAAGTGCTGCTTTTAGTTATTGAAAGTTGATAACAGTTTGCTAAATTAATAACATACGAACATATAAAATGACAATCTTTTCATCCCCCCACCTAGATGGTGGTTGTCACTATAGGTTCTATGACCATTAAAGACATCTCTTCTTATTTTACTACTGGCTTACAAAAAACTGCAAATCATAAATAAGCTAATTTTCAGAGACAAGCCCAAACGTTAGACTAGTTGTCACTACCTAACCGATTGTGGTTCAAGTTTTCAAAAGCATTCAAACCGATAGGTATGTCTCTTGGGGAACAAGTTGAACTTACCAAATTATTAGCCCATGTCGCATCAGGGTATTTATTTGCCAACGTACTCTCTAATTTAACAATTTGTTGCTAACCTTTAATATTACATACTGAACAAATTATATTAATCCTTGCAAACAGCAGCTAGGATTGGATGGTGAACTAAAAATTCCAAATTAAAGCCCTACGATTAAATCCCCTAAAAATTCTGCTCAGGTACGATCGGAAAATAAATAAGAGTGAATTTGCTCACACCAGAGCTCAATAAAAACTTTGTTAATCTTTCCATTAACAATCCCAACAACACCATACGAACGAAACAAATCGAGTTCTGACAGCAACAACATGTTAAGTTGCATTTCACCTATCAAGTCTACCTCGCGTATAACATGATTGACACCCAAACATAAGATCAATTACAAAATAAGAAAAGAGAAAATGACACCCCGCAAAGGTTGTGATCGTGGAATATAGTGACCTCCAAACATGACCTACTTCCTCGACTGGCCCCACAAGAGTCCTTTCACGAATCCCGTCAGACCACCTGCACCAGCTGACTCTTTCGATGGCTGTTCAGGGAATTCGATATGATTCAGGGCTAAATCGAAGAAGGCCGGTTTTACAGGAATAGCCTCGTATTCTGGTGGGAAGGGGACCAAAGGAGCAGGCTGCGTTGTCAGTTTTCTCATAATTACCTTCTCCGGCACGAATTCTCCAGGCGATTTGATCAACGGCTAAAAAGGAAAATATTAGAGTAAGGTAAACAACGTTAAATTAGGCAGTTGTGTGGTGGTTATATACTACTTACTTCTTTCAGTACAGTTCTAGGAAGAGCTGCTGAAATGTTAACTTCCTCAATCGATGTAGAATCAGTACCACCTGCAGCAAGTTCAAGCATATAACCCGCCTTACAGGCTAGCATCTCTGAATCAATTTGACCTTCTAAATCCTTCAACAAATCCAACAAAAATGCCTTTTTATGACCTGGCACGGCTTCGGATTCAACCGCCTCAGACAAAGCGGAGTTTTCAAGACTTATAGTGGCCTCTTTTGTTTCTGAACGGCATCTTTGAAGAAGTGACGAGCATTCAAGATATCTGTTACTTCGGAGATAAGCCAGGGCTAGATAATAACACCTATACAATTTTAGAAAATCATTCGACAGTTATCTCATGAGATTAAAGTGTTTCCTTTAAGAATCAAACTCACTTCATAGCTTTATAGGCAAGAATCTTAGCCTTGATAAGGGTTCGAATGTCGACATTTTCCTCAATCTCACCAGGGAGAGAAAGGACTTCTTGAAGATTTTGCAAGACCGTATCATACAGACGAGCAAACTCATGGGGTTTGTGGTAACCCGAAGTAACAAGATTCCAAGAGGGATGTTGATGCTCAGGAGCGACCTTTGTAATTAAAGAATCCAACTGATAGAGTGTACGCCAGATCGTCTTATTTAGCTTCAAGTACTGCATGTAGGTATTCAGGCGTTGAAGACGAGGCAGCTAAAAAGGAAAAGAAAATCAAATATTGAATAATAGTAGCAGCGTTGAAGGTAATGAGAATATATCATTCACCTTTTCAATACCCGTAGAATGTGCTTTTTCAGCTGACTGTGTTGTTAGAAGACCTGCTGCAGCAACAGCATCGGCATTCGAAATAAGACGAATTTCCTCCCGAATAGCCATTAAAGCTTCAACAAGAACCTTGAGAACCGACTCGCAGATCATCGATTTAGTAAAGCTAGAAGGAACTCGTGCTAATTGTTCATCAGCTTCCTATAAATCCACAAAACGAGAGATGTGAACAATACGAAGAACCGAAACCTAATAATCAAAAAAAGGAAATACCTGAACAGCAAGAACAGCCACTCTAGCCTTATCCAATTTGACCGGAATTGTGGCACCCAACCACTTAACCTCAGTTACGGAACCTGCTTGAAGGGCCTGCATTTGCTTAAGAAGATCATCGAGCTGTTCCTCAACTAGCGTACCTTCGGCCCCAGCACGCATATCACGTAAATCTGAAGCTGCTGAAGTATCTCCAATACTGTAGGCACAATAGCGAATCTGAGGCATAATTTCATTTATTCTACTAGTGTAAGTCTCCCGCAAATCTTCATCTAACGAAGAAGACAGGCCAGTATAGATCTGCTCAACCGATTCAAGAAGCTCTTTCGCTTTGCCCCATTCTTGTTGCTCAAAAAGAATAAGACCGTTGATCCAGTTAATATAGGCTGTCAATTCCAATTTTGTCTGAGCACCACAACAGGTAACATTATTCATAATTTCGTTGAGATTTTGAGCAAGCTTTGCGGCTTTGCGAAGGCGCGACATCATATGGAACTTCTTGCGATGTTCAGAATTTGCCTCTGATCGAAGTTGCATAGCGTAAGCCCAGCAACGTTCGATTTCAAAAACAGCTAATATTATATGACGAGCATCAGTAACCATTTCGGGGGTCAGCTTTTTGGGAACAACTCGAGAACGCGTTCCCTGTTGAAAACGCAAAGATTTCCTCATACGCCTGAGCTTTCGAGTAACATATTGTTGGTAGCGCTGATAATCACCATGACGGAGACCGTGCTGATACTGAGCACATTTCACAATGTACAGGACTACAATAAGAGAATGTAGTAACAAAATATGTTGCATGAAATCGGTAAAATAGCATAAATCCTTATAATTGAAAATTCAGTTAAGATTACTGATTAAATTTATATGTAATAACGCTTACCAGGTATATTAAATATTTTTTTATCGCCCTCCTGGCCAGGATCATTTGGAGCTACCATTGAAACGTTGAACCAGACCAAAATTGGCGGTAATTACAAACAAATTATTAAGGTCGCTAAAATATGCACGATCAATAATAAGTTATTTCACAATAAAAGTTATCAAATTTAAGAATATTTTCGCTAAAATATTTTTATGGATTTTAATTTTTATGTTATTTTACTTTATACTTATATTTTCGTTTCCCAGATTTAGTTGGTAGAAAGGAGTTTAGCGTAGGCTAACTGGCTTTCGCCAAAGCGGTTTGCTAATCAATAGGTTTTGTCAGCGCGACTCTGCAGTAAGTGCCTGTCCGTCCCACATCACTTCGCGTCCCGTTTGGTATGCTTCAGTTTCGGGGCGATAGCCCAGACCACAAGGACGTGCCGCTCAAGCACAACATAGATTTTCATTTGCTACTTACTGCTACTGGCTAAAGTCCGCGCGGCCAACGCGTTCCTGTGTGACTGTCTCTCTATCGCTGCCTCGCCTTTCTCTCTCTTCTCACTCACAGCGACTCTAGCGCCGCACTGTTATGTGTGTGTGTAGTTGCGCGTAGTCGCACACAGAATCGCACAAGTCACCACAATATATTTTGAAGTGCATCACACGGCATTTTTGCTGCAAATCGAGAGCGCGCCTATCCCCTGACGGCTGTCCTTTACACATTCACGCGTCACACTACAATTACCATCATCAGCTGAGTGTGTGTGCGTGTAGTGCAAGCGTGTGCCCTTTTAACCTTGACCCCCTAACAGTGAATATGCATCCAACTTCCTCCTCCCACTTCTAATGCTCTCACGTCACAAAAATCGTATTCACCTTCCGGTAAATATATCAGGCGGGTATCTCTCTGACCTCAATGAGGAACAGTTTATCTCTGAGCTTGCCAAACTTAGAGGTATTCCTGTACATTTATTCAATTCCCATCCTCGACTAAATGGTCGCCCTATTAGCCTCTTAAAACTCTACAATGCTGTCGCACTTCGAGGCGGTTCAAAAAAGGTGACTTCCCTGTCCCTTTGGGATGAGGTAGCTGATGCAATTTCCCTCCAGTCTGACTGCATTAACATTGGTCAAGCTGCGAAAAATGTCTTTCAAAATTACCTTGAAATCTACGAACGTGTTCAACGCAGTGTTGACGGTCAACCCGGTGGCGATATCCTGGAAATGGATTCCACTGATCCTAGTTTAAGTCTCCAACTTGTAGAAAATCATCTACGACATCGATGGAACTTGAGTGTTGATCTCATTGAATCTGTGGAATATAGAGCCCTTCTTTTGGCACTGGAATCTGGTCTCCCGAATGAATTGGACTATGCAATCAATACCGTCCTTCTTATGTCCTCTCAACAAAATGGATTTGAGTTATCTCGGTGTCCCCAAATTTTGCCTTTAATGCTCTCAACTGTTGGAATCTATTCGACCGGTATGATTATCAATATTTAGTATTTATCGGCTTTTTATTCAGGTCCATGTTCTTATGATCTCCTTAAAAACGCTTGGCGGTCACAATGTAATAGAGATTTTCACAAGGTAAGCAGTTTTCGAGCATTTTCTTACTCCTTTATCTTGTTATTAGTTCTGGCATAGTGTTGTTCCGAGTGAATATGGTCGACAATTTCTCAATCCCAACGTGTTTTCACGTAAGTACTTTTCTTGTTTTGTATCTCGGCTATCAAACTCCTTGTGTGAAAATATCTTTTCTTGTTGCCTCTTAATTCTTATTACCCGCCACCTAAATCGATTGTGGTTGGATTTTTAGACAAACATCTGCCTAAATCTCTAGACGACAGTCTGCCAGAACCCGTTACTTGCCTCACCTTTCGTGATACCATGACTTATCATGATGTAGAGGGCTTCCGTGTTCAATTAGTTGCCATGGTGCTTAGGAACTTGGTGGTAACCCCTTCAGCAAATGCAATGAATCTGAGTCAAGAACCGGATGCTCTTCGATTTGCCTGTTTATGCATTTATTCTACTCACACGGCCCTTCGCCAACTTGGTCTTGATATTCTTGCTTACCTGCATTTCCCTGTAATTGGTCCCCTTGGTGACGTCCTTGTCAACCTCATTCCTGTCCTTTTGGCTTCTCAAGATCGTGTAGATGTCACAAGAGGTGAGTCCTGTTCATTAAGTTTCGTTGTGCATGAATTGTTCTTCAACCCTTTAGATACCGAGATTCGCTCTTTGTTTAATATGCAAGAAAAAACTTGCTTAACTCGTAAAAATAAATGGAGATTCATGTGGATGTTCACTCAGCCTGTTCGATTAGTCACCTTGTAAGGTCATACCAGAGCTTGAAATGACCTCATCTTCAGCCGAAAATCTTAAGAAACTTGATATTTCCTTCTATTTTTTTCTCCTGAATTGTCTGACTTTGTTTATTTTCGCCTCGCTTAATCGATTGACATTAGCTTTCTTGGATTGTTTTCTATTTAAGTGCATCACTCCAAGGGTATGAATGTCTTTTTTTGAGACTTTAAATCGACCTTTTTTACATTCGATCAACGGGTTGGCTAATTCGCAATAAATATTAAGTTTACCTTAGCTTTTTTAAATGTAAATTTAATTCATATCCCATCTCTGATTTCTCTAGGGCAAGTTGAATAAATTACGGTGGCAGTTTGAGTTGGCTGAACAATGTGAATGACCGTTGTTGACGCTTGTATTACTTAGAAGATATCGGGACATATTTATCTTCATGCTCAGTAGTTTATCGATTGACTAATTGGTTTGAAGCCGAGATCCTTTCTCCATCAATTGTTATTCATATTAATGATCTCTTTTTTGTCTGTTTGAATTCAACTCTGCTTATGTATGGATCGATTTGGGGAATGGCTGCTTTCAATTAAATTCCAGTTTATTATGGTTGATTTGAATTGGGTACTCGTGGTGTTGACTACTAACAAGTCCACTAATTTATCGACCGATAAATTGGCTTTAAACGTAGCTAATTTTGTTATCGATTTTTATGAGACACACATATTTCACGTTTATTTAGATCGAGCTATAAATTGATCTTAAAAGGAGTTTTCTAGGTCACTGCTTTAAGTGGTCTTCGTATTTGTTTGCACAAATTTCATATGTAGGTCGGATACATGTTCTAGTTTTAAGTAATCGTTGTCTGAAAGAATTTTCAGTCATCCCAATGGTCTATAAACACAGCCTGTGAATGACTCATAACTCCCGTTTGTTTTACTGTGTAATTGCTTCCGTGGTAATGACTAAGTACTCAAAAATAATATCCCTCTATCCATTATTAGGACTCACGATACTCCGGCATCTCTGCGAATCTCCCATCCAATCTCATCAGGGTCTACCTGGAAGTCCTCATACCTATTTGATTGAAACATCTTCCAGAAATCTCGATTTCCTCACTCGATCTCTCATATTACCACCTCAGAAGCGGGAAGTGATTGGATTAGTCCTACAGCTGACCTGTGTTCGTGACCTTCACATACTCGTATTGGCTCTAGATGCTGTGTTTGCCCTATCAACTCAAGGTTCCGCTTTTTGCGATGCCCTCATTTTGGCTTGTGAATCAGAGTACGAGGATGAAGAGGATAATTGCCTTAGGAATGGTCCCCATCATCTCATTGGCTCTCTTGTCGCCTTCCTTACCTTCGAAGCGCAGTCTTTTGGATCAGAAGGACTTATTCGGATTGGGGTCGTGCAGGTTTGTATTTTTTCAAATTATCAGTTATGTTGTCTGCAAGTGCATTCTTTTTTACATTTCGTGTGTTTAATGGCTTAGTTGATTGCTTCAATTGGCAACTTGCCTCCTATTGCTTAATAGAGGAAGGTCCGTATTTTTATTTTTAACATTTGTCCAGTATTTTCAAATAAATTTATCACAAAATTAGAAGTTTGCTGTTTTAATGGAAGATAGCCTTAGCGTCGGAGGGTCCTGTTCTTGGGAAGTTGTCGTTGAACTTGATTCTAAAAGCCACATGCATAGCTTGATTTCATTTGTTCTCCCTCCGTACTTTCTTAGCTACCGATAGTTGGCTTTACTTGCAAGTTTCTTGAGAATAAAACCGGAATGGTACTTAATTGCATCAAACTACGCTCCCACTTCTGAATCCATATGTACAGGATACGCAGTAACAATATCTTCTCCATAACTGCAAATAGGTAATTTTGTTCAGCTGAGAGTTGCAATTAGTTGAAGTCGCTTTCACTTTGTTAAACTTAACTGCATTTTCAGGTGTTTCCATTTCGTTTGGTCACGTAAACTAGTCTCACATTCTTCCATTATAAAACATGTTGCCTATCATTTGGTCCCGAAAGCTTCTGTTTTTTTTGTTCAGTTGAGTGCTTGAGACATTTAAATTAGATCTCCTATTGTGTAGTGCCTTTGTGATTTTGAATTTGGATTCTCCATTGTTGTATCTGTCAAGTCCTTGAATTCCTTTGTCCAAGAACTGTCCACAGCTTCGTCTTTTGTTCTTTATAAATATTGTTTTAACACTTGGTGGGTTTTTTTTAACGCTGCCTTCTGTATGATGGGACTTAGAATTTGTCTATTGCGTGGGGCTTTCGATTGGTTAAGTTAAGATTTTCTATTGATCTATTTCACACCTTTTTCAATAGAGTGCTTCATTTTAGAGGAGGACGCATGCATGAGTTTTAAAACCTCCGTATTTAGTCTCGTCACAATTTTTAACCAAAGCATTTCATTCCCCCCCCNATTCCCCCCCCCCCCACCCCCACCCTCCACCCCACTCAAAAAACTAGTAAATCACGGATTGGTTTACTTGCAAATTATTTTTCTCCAAACCTCCTATCATCTTTTATCATTGGTTGCTTTAATTGCCAACTAGAACAGTTTCTTACATTTTTGCCTTTAACTTAAGCTGGTGACGTAGTGGTTAATTTGCTCGTCTTCAAAATCAGAAGTCTGGAACTCATTGTCCATTGAGCTGAATGACCAGTCGCACTGATTAATTCTGGCTTGTAAAAGGTGTGATAGACTTCGTGCCTCTATGGTACCAACTCTTAACCCCTTTCATTGGTGTGTGGTCGGGATTTGGTATTGTTATATTTGCCTATCCTTCGCTCTGCAGTCAAATTACAGAATTCTAAAGTAGCTTTGTGTTTAATTTTTTTGGAAAAAAAGTCTATATTTATTCTTGATCTAATGCAGATCACATCATATAATCCGTTTAGTTTTTTATTACTCATTAATAATTTAATTAGGCATTGTACTTAGAGCTCTCAAGTTCATGGAAAAGTTGGTTTTCAGTATATATCCTAACAAGGAGGGTAGATCTCTGCAAATTTTAGCTATCCTAGCAGTAGAATATTTTCTAATTCGTATACGCACGTTTACGGTTTTCGAACTCGTCATCTCTTGATTAAGGAAATACGAACTATTATCATGTAACTAGCTCCTTTTTCTCAGTGTATATTTTATTTCGTTTGCGAGGCGGCACCCGATTTGAGAATCTCTCACGCCCTTAAGATACCCCCTTTTTCTTTGTTAGGAGGGGGGGGGGGATGAGGTGATCTCTCAACCTCTTACTAGAGACGTTTTATGAGGGAATGTTTTTTTCTACAATTTTTAACTATCTAATGCACTTATTGATTCTTTTTGACACGAAGTTGCATTGCAAGTTTTATTTTATTTAACGTGGTCTGAGAACCTATCTCTTTGTGAATGAATGGCGCTCCTCATTGTTCCAAAGAACATGCTTAGGTGGGGTTCCACCAGCACGTTTTATTATGACCGCTTGATGAATATGTTAATTAGGCAAAAGATACGTGGCTCTGTATTGATTTTACCCAACACTGGGCTTGGAGTTTAAAATTTCAAGAATTTGATTCTCATTAATTGTAGTCTTTGTGGTGACACTTTATTTGACTCCATTTTATGCGATAGTGATATTAATTACCCCTATAGTGGCATATTTTACGCAGAGTGAATTTAACCGTTTCATTTTCTGCGTCTATTCTATTCCATATTTCAATCCAAAAATAGGATATTCGATTGTGAAAACTATATACCCCTTGAAATTAGTAATAATACCAATTCTTACCTTCAATGGTCCGTGGGTTCAATAACACGAAATTGATTAGCCTTTAATTTTTGGCAATACTTTCATCTCGTGTATGTTTACAGTTGCACATTCCTGGCATCCGCTCGTAACCTTTTTTGCTCCTGGCAATACACCCATGACTGTTTTAGATTTCATGTTCTTAAACAATTAATAGTTTAATTGTTTGATAGTTTTCATTAGCTCTCTAGTTGACTTTAAGCGTTTTGATGGTTATCATTAGCCCTTTATTTGACTTCTGGTGGCTTCACAGAGGGGAGGAACATCAAAGTGAGAAAAATTCAAGAGGGGGAACTCACAGAGAGGAGGAACATCAAAGTGAGAAGGATTCAGGAGGGGGAACAGAAGAGTGTTTCGAAAATGTAAAAGAAACAGACAGACACAAAGGCTCAGAAAGGGTAAGATGAGTACTGTGGTGGGGGTCGAATATGACATACAGTGGGGGTGATGGTTGTTTGAAGTGAGAAGTCAACTGCCGGTTAATAGACTTTTTTGCCGTATGAGTATACGTTGCCCAGGGTGCACCACGAGGAGGTAACTCTATCCCACACCCCAACATGTAAATATAAATATGTATGTATGATTACTACCTGGGTACATGGATTTCCTTCTAAATATTTTATGTGTGACAGGTTCCTGAAAATACACCTTCGACAGTCGTGAATACCACGACAACAAATACCTCGCCATCCGGTGTAACAGCTTCTCGGCGTATCTTAGAGAAACCCATCGCCATAGCAATTCAGCCTCCAGCTCAATCATCTCAGCAGCAAACTCAACAAACGAAAAAGGATCTCCAATCCGCAGCTGTTGCTTCGAATCTCATGTTGTGTCCTCCTCCTCAACCCCACGCTGGTTGTTATGCTGTCCCCGTGCCGGTTACAGTTGTTTCTGCTCTTCCAGCACCTAATAAACCGGTTATGATTGCAACCTCTGGAAGCAGCCTTCCAATTTCCTCTTGGACTGTGTCATCGATAACGACACCTGCAACTTCGACGGTGGTTAAAACACAGGAGGCCCTTGTAACTGCAGCCATCTCAAAAACCAGGGTTAGTCGTACTTCTTCCCCTACTTTATGAAACGCTTATTAGTTTTTGCTCTTTGAATCTCTTTTTAACCTTTTTCGTGCGCGTGTGTGTGTGTGTGACTTTTTTGCTTTGAGTAAATGGTCAAACTTGATGACAGATTGGAGGGCAATACTCATCGTTTCTTCATTACTGTGTTAGTAGTCTTCGAATTCCTCTTTCTCTAGTAGACTGTGAAACAAATTAACCAGCTTCAGTTTTACGTTTTTCCACCTTTCCCACGTTTCTTTCTCCTACTATGGAATAATTTTATTTGACTTTGGGGGAGGGGTGGCAGGGAATTGTCTACTTTTAATTTTACTTTACCCTTTCCCTTTCTGTCTTCTCTTTTTTTTACTAATTTGTATGATTAATGACCTCGATTGGACAGCAAAATTTTCAGGGATTAAACGTTACCTACACACGAGTCCAATTTGCAGCAAACATCCATCTCCACTAAGTCAATTCCACTAGATCGGTGCACACCTAGTGATGTGGTTGGCCAAGCACACAATGTTTGAACTCCGTGAACAAGAGGTTTGGAAGAGTAGGATTTTCTTATGTGCGCTTGGCTCCTGAAAACCTCTCAAACCCAATTGGCCTGATAGGCTTTGTAACGGTTCTAATAGCAAAAGTAGTGAAGAAATCTTAATGGAACTCGATTGTTTCATTCTGTCTATTAGTTTCAATCAACTTAGACCTAAAATAGAAGTTCACAGAATTAAGGACAGGTAACTCTTCTTCATTTACATAGCAAGCTCCGCCTACCTTTAACTACGTGTTTATTTTTCATAATTCAAATGGTTTGAATGCAGATTCGCCTAAACGTAATACAATATTAGTAGGAGACTAATCTTCATATTTTACATTTCCTTCCTGTGTACTCTATTTATTACACTATGATCACCTCTATCTAATTGGCTCGTTCTTTGCGCATTCGTTGTAGACTACCACTGTAACTGTTCCAAAAACCTCAGTTGAGTTAGCAGTTTCTCTGAACCAGCCTCAAATCCAACAGCCTTCAGCCCCCATGGTTCTAACTCCCGTTGCGCCTCCGCCTCCAATTTTACCTGTAGTTGTAGCTGCTGCTCCAACGAAGCCTTTTGTAGTTACAGCCCAACCCACTGTAGCTCCGTCTCCAATAGTAACCAACGGAAAGCAGACATCTATCCAACAGACAACTCTTTCTATAGAACGGAAGACCAGTACTACTTCACTTCGACAGAACCTTCAGTCTCCTCCCAGTGCGACAAACTCCGCGGCCTCTTCTCTGATCAACACTCTGCCTAAACCCTACCCGGATGCACCGACAGATAAGAGGGAATTCGCCACTTTCTGGTTGAATAAGAACTACGAGGTGCACCCACAATCGAGTTTTCCTCGGGTTCTAATCTATGCTGAGTATCAGAAGGCTCATCAGGTTCAGTTTGGAACGGCTTCGGGAGCGGCGTTATCTGCCGGAGATTTTCATGCAATGATTAAGTGAGTTATACCTGGACTTTATTCCTAATTAGTCCGGTTTGTAGATTGATTGCATCATTGCCATACCATAAAGCGATTTGTTTTTTCGACCTCACAATAGAATGGGTTCTCTTATCCAGACACCTTGTCAGCAACGGTGTCTTCTAATTCTACCAAATGGTTTTTCCTCTGCGTTTTATAAACCTCTCCATCTGTATTAAAGTGCAACATCCTTTGTAAAAATAGGTTTTTTTCTATCTCACTGAATTGTCGTAAGTTTTTTACTCAAATTGAGTAGTTGAATTAAGATTTATGGGTGGTTTTGAAATAATGTGATTCAGTTTATGTTCAGAACATGCTTAATCCGTTTATTCATTCATGAAAATACTTAATTTTATTAAAAATAAGCATTGGAGTGTGTGCTTATATGAAATGGCAGGATTTATAATAATTATCATTAGTCCTTTAGTGGGCTGCGGGCTGTACAGAGCAGAGGAACTGACAGTCACAAAAAGTGGAGAGGGGAAACAGAAGTGGCCAAATATGACATAGTCTGGTCGTGGTAGTTTGCAGTCCACTACTGGTTTATGGACTTTTCTGCCAGGGTACACCACCACGTGGAAGCAAGTCTATCATGCATCCCCCCCCCCCAGCATTTAAATTTGGTTGTTTGATTTTATCAGAACTCCATGTTACACCCTTCTTTTTCTGCAATTACTTGCCGGTAGCCTTGCGCGGTATTCGTCGCTCTGATACTAAATTATTAGATCTGTCGTGTTCATTTATGCTCATGTCAGAGTTCCCCTCACACCGCTCCATTTCCGGTTAATTTGGCATTTAATTCGTTTAATATATCCAAAACCGCTTTTACACAACTGAACCCCTTGTTCTTCCCATCTATCAAGTGCAAATGGTATTGTTCTAGGAAATTGTAATAACTATTCCCAAGCTCAAAATTGTGACTGGCATTCAGATTTCAGAAATTTCTTTTGGATTGCAGAAGATAATTTACGGTGTCTTATTGTGAGGGCATAATTTATATGCAACTGACCTTTGGGTTCGACTAACTTGTGTCGTTTCATTTTTTTTTCACTTTTGAATACTTGACGTTATTCTTCGTTTTCATTGTTATATAGAATTTTTACTTGGGGGATAATAGTCAGTTTTGTTCTAAATCCATTCAACATACATTATACCATTCGAACAAGGTTTGTAGGAGTGTAATTTGGAGCAATGTTATATCTGCCTTTGTCCATTCCCTATGACCCCCCCCCATATCGAATCGGATGTGAAATTAGAAAAATGGCGCTTTACCCCCC